AAAGTTTGAGTTTTATTTTCGTAATTCTATGTGACTGATAGCGTATCACAATTTTAAGTAAGTAATATGTTTTAATTATTGTATCATAGTTTATCTATGGATGTATAAATATTACTATAGCCTGACCAGAAACATAAAAACCCTGGCATAGAGGCGCGTCAATTGCATTTGATAGTGCAACACTGGGTACAGTCGTACCTGTATTAAATTAATAGGCTAACTTTATGTATCAGGATTCAGGATTATAGGCTAATTTAATATTTTCATAAATTAACAAAAAAATATTATATTATAGGTAAACTGGTTTAAATAAATTAAATGAAACCATCAATCGAGCAAGTAGGATTTTATTATTATTCATCAATAATCAAATTCTGAACTTGAATATTCAACTACAATGTCTGCTCATGAACGCTTCAAACTCGGTACTTCTTTCCCAATTCCATAAAACTCAACACTTACAAAGTGACAAAAAACTTTAAATTATGTAGTTGAAACAAACCACAGCTAATTTTCATAGTTGACTGTACTATGCGATAAACATGTCAGTCAATTTGACAATCTTTGTCGGAAACATTATTCAATGAAAATATTGTCCGAACCCTTAGTATTTCTCTTCGACAAATACTTTAACACATTGTGAACCACTTTTCTTTCACGACTATGAAAAGTTTTTAGCAATTTAATTCAGAAAATCAATTGCACACATTTATAATAAAGTTTGTTTACACTTTGACAGCAATAGACTGACATGCAAGGTGACATTTCAATGAAGTTTTCAGTTACTGTTGCCATTAAAAGAAATTAGTACCATTAATTTTCCGCAACATGGCGAGGGTTTTTATGTTCCTGGTCAGGCTATAATTTTATTCCACTGTTACGAAAACATGAAATGTTATAAATATAAAGTGAAACTATGTGTGAAATTTACATTGTGTTAGGTAGAAGTGGGGACTTTTATACATCCTAGTGTATTTTTTTTTATTTGAAGTGAATAAGAAAGAATATTTCTGGGAAAATTCAAATCATTTCGATCAATCGGGACAACGCTCTACTTACTAAAGTACTGGTTTAAAAAATAATGTGATTAAAAAACTTATACTCTTAATAAGTAACGAATAAATTACTACAGCATCTGAATTTAAATAATATTATGGTAAGTGAAAGTTAGTTTTTTTTTGTTTCTTTTCTAATCCCAAGATTAAATTCTGGTGTTGCTGGTAATTCGATGACAAACTTCGAAAAATGTTTTTATTTTTTTAATTTTAAGCAACTCCATGATAACGTTAGGTAAAAGTGAAAAAAGCCCGACTTTGTCCAAAAAATAATTATTTTAATATTGTTGTCCAAATATCAACGAGATAGCAACCGATCGATTTAGTTCCTAGTTCGTCGATACTGTTGTTATCGGCTCACTCGACTGTAGTGTCAATGTTCATTGATGGTTACGTACTGTGGCGAATCGCACGCGTGTTGCGGCCAGTGAGTCAGTGGGCCATCGTTACGAGTTTGTTTCGTCTACTACATCTTTGTCTATAAACTTAGGTAAGAACCTTTGTTTTAAGTCTAGCTCTAGTGTTTTAATTAAACTTTTCATTCATTTGTTTCTAGTTTACTCGTAAATGAGTCTTTTTCTTTAAAAACGCGCAAGGACATCATTTTGTGCATTTAATGTGTTTTTTTACAACCGAGGATCAGAGGCCCTGTTATTTTGTGATAGTATATAAGCTGATATATCGACTGATAACGACTTAATCGCATACGGAACTTAACATGAAGGTACATATCTGTACATAGATACTCGATAATGCTAATTTAATTTTGGAATCTTTTTATTAGTCATGTAAGTCGATAATTTAATTTAAAATCGTCTGAAAGATCTAATCGAATACAAAAATCTAGAGACGTACCTACCAATTTAACTGCATAATAATGTGTTGCCTGGTGTTAAATTGAATTTTATCTTTACTAAAGTGGACCAGTAAAAACCACACTTAAGTTAATTGGTGGTTTACGCTAATATGTTTGTACAACTGGTTCATAGACATGGAACATTTAAAGTTAATTGTCGATTGCCCAATTTTATTTATTTATTACGCATTGCACACGAGTTTGGTGCAAAAAATCGAGTGGACTGTCTGATCTACCTACGACAGGGGATTCATTAAAATGATGCTAAATAATAGTTGCTATGCAGAAGCTTTTTATAAAGGTAATAGGTGCATTAGAGTTCAAGGTTCTAAAACAATTCGACCAGTTAAAGGTTAAGTATGAATGATGCGCTACTTAAACACGGATAAACTTTTGGCTTTTGAACAAAAATAAAATACTCGATCAGTAAGTCAATTGCTATTACATTAATTTAATGATTTTTCACCCACGATACTCATATTTTAGTAAAGTAAGTAATATTTTCATTTTTTAACCTACATTTTTAATTGATTGCAAAAAAAATCACTCATTTCATTATCCTATCTCAAAATTAAATGTTACCATGTAACAATAGGTACTAAAAAAATGATTTAGATGTAATTTGAATAAAAATCGGGGAATAACTAGGTACCTAGTTCAATTCCATGTACATTTATTGGCGAACATTTCATGGGTCAAATGTCATTTGGGCGAAAAGTTAGATGTCAAAAGATTCTGTTGGTCAAACGTTCATTGGTGTGCCGTTCTCTTGGCGAACGCTTCATGGGTAAAGTGTTCTTTGGGCAAAAAGTTAATGGGTTAAAGATCCTGTTGGTGAGTAGTTCATTGATCAATCGTTTGTTGGTGAACGGTTTCACAATCTACCTAGGTAGATAATTGTTGATATAGAAAAGTATGTAATATTTATACAATGTAGTAGGCTCATGTTATTATGAGAAGATCATTATTACAACATTGTTATTGCTTCATCACACTGATCGGAATTTGACCGGCGATTCGTTATCACTTGATAACACTGCGTTAACTTAATAAACAACTAAAAATTTACTTTGTGAGCATTATGTTTAGGTATACATTTGCTTTGTGTTTTAATTCAGAGGCTCCGGGTTCAAAACGTGGAACTTTAGTCATCAAATTAATGATCTTTAGTCTGATAATTTATGACTAATGATTCGCAGGTTTTTTCTTAAAATCACTTATTACTAATATTGTTTTAAATGACTATGATTACAATTGAGCTAATTTATAATATCGTTATTATTCTTGGTAACAGTAGTCTGGTAGTAAAACTTCGATAGTACGCAATTAAACTTGATAATAGGTCATTGATATTATTTAATGTAAATTGTGTACATTAGTAGTACACTTACCTACTAATAGTAGGTATTCTAAGGTTCATTTTCTAGGGCATTTCTTAACTTTTATTCGATTTATACAACATGCAAATAAACAATATTAGTTTTCATTTGGCCAATAATTTATTTGGCTTACATTTTTTAAATAATAAATAACAAAATTAACCTTTAGCAATAAAGATATAGATGACTATTGATCTAAGTTAGTAACTGTAAATGCATACGCATAGGTATTATCTGCTCATAGACGCATAAAAACTCGCTTATTCATAGCATATGGACGTGACCAATAACAATGTATAAGAATCTAATGTATTTTTCCATGAATACAGATCTATTCTTAAATAATAATTTGCTGCGCATGTATCAAAATGTTTGCTATTAAGTAATTATCTTTAATTTACAACAGTTTTTACGGTCGAAGCTAGACAGATATTTTGCACTTCTAAGGCTGAGTTACACACCACCTTATTTCAACCGTGATTATAACCATAACCGCTGTTTTTTAAGAAGTTTGGCAGAATTTTGACATTTGTTAAAGTTAAAGTAAAGGTATAATTCCAAGACTATGAAATCTCCGCGACGCGCCGCGCTTCAGATTTCATAGAGTTTTGCAGTTTGCGGTCTGCGGCCCGTCTTGGAATTGTACCTTAATATGTTGCAGCACGGCCTAGTAGGTTCCTATAGCCACAAGAAAAAGAAGTATCTAAAGATAATACTTACTTAGGTACTTGTCAACAACTTGTTGATGAGTATTGTCCGTGTGAAATAAACATAAATCATTTTTATCTTTGTGATATGTACAATGGANTAGACAAACCAAGATGGTGTAAATTGGACCTTGGTCCCCGAGCATAACACCCGCTCGGAAGGAAGCACTAACATCTAGCTTCCTTATTGTGGTTGAGCATCATATCCCACACATTGATATCACGACTACAGAAACGACTGACTTAATTTTTGCTTAAACATCCCATTTTGTCAATTTTTTTTTTGCTGGTGATACGAGTGGTTAGGTGGTGGTGGGTTATTTAGAAAAAGTTTGAGTTTTATTTTCGTAATTCCATTTGACTGATAGCGTATCACAATTTTAAGTAAGTAATATGTTTTAATTATTGTATCATAGTTTATCTATGGATGTATAAATATTACTAATTTTATTCCATTGTTACGAAAACATGAAATGTTATAAATATAAAGTGAAACTAGTATGTGTGAAATTTACATTGTGTTAGGTACGAGCAGGGTAATACTCCATAGTTAGGGTAGTATTTGAAGTGAAAAAAAAAATTCTGGGAAAATCAATCATTTCGGACAAACGGGACAACGCTCTACTAACTTAAGTACTGGTTTAAAAAATAATGTGATTAAAAAACTTATACTCTTAATAAGTAACGAATAAATTACTACAGCATCTGAATTTAAATAATATTATGGTAAGTGAAAGTTAGGTTTTTTTGTTTCTTTTCTAATCCCAAGATTAAATTCTGGTGTTGCTGGTAATTCGATGACAAATTTCGAAAAATGTTTTTATTTTTTTAATTTTAAGCAACTCCATGATAACGTTAAAAGTGAAAAAAGCCCGACTTTGTCCAAAAAAATAATTATTTTAATATCGTTGTCCAAATATTAACGAGATAGCAACCGATCGATTTAGTTCCTAGTTCGTCGATACTGTTGTTATCGGCTCACTCGACTGTAGTGTCAATGTTCATTGATGGTTACGTACTGTGGCGAACCGCACGCGTGTTGCGGCCAGTGAGTCAGTGGGCCTTCGTTACGAGTTTGTTTCGTCTACTACATCTTTGTCTATAAACTTAGGTAAGAACCTTTGTTTTAAGTCTAGCTCTAGTGTTTTATTTAAACTTTTCATTCATTTGTCTCTAGTTCACTCGTAAATGAGCGCGAAGTTTTTTTTTTAATAACCGCGCAAGGACATCGTTTTGTGCATTTAGTGTTATTTTTTACAAGCGAGGATCAGAGGCCCTGTTGTTTTGTGATAGTATAAGCTGATATATCGACTGATAACGACTTAATCGGATACGGAACTTAACATGAAGGTACATATCTGTACATGGATACTCGATAATGCTAATTTAATTTTGGAATCAATTTGTTAGTCATGTAAGTGGATAATTTAATTTAAAATCGACTCTATCTAATCGAATACAAAAATCTAGAGACGTACCTACTAATTTAACTGCATAATAATGTCTTACCTGGTGTTAAATTGAATTTTATCTTTACTAAAGTGGACCAGTAAAAACACACTTAAGCTAATTGGTGGTTTACGCTAACATGTTTGTACAACTGGTTCATAGATATGGAACATTTTAAGTAAATCTTCGATTGCCCAATCTTATTTATTTATTACGTATAGCACAATATGAGTTTGGTGCAAAAAATCCAATGGATTGTCACATCTACCTAGAACAGGGGATTCACTAAGTTCGTAGAATAGTAGCTACCTACTTTAAGTGCTATTTTAGAATGATGATGCTTGAAAAATAGTTGCTATGTAGAAGCTTTTTATAGAGGTAATAGGTGCATTAGAGTTCAAGGTTCTAAAACAATACGACCTGTTAAAGGTTAAGTACGAATGATGCGCTACTTAAACACGGATAAATTTTGGCTTTTGAAGAAAAATTTTTTATTTACGAAATAAACAAGAAATTAGTATAAAATAAGTATCACTATACAACTTATTTAATGAAATTATGTTTCGATCACTAAGTCGATTGCCATTATTTTTAATGTATGATTTTTGCCCATGATTGCTCGTAATTAAAAAAAATAGTAGTATTTTCAAACCTAAATTTTTGATCGATTGCAAATAATATTCACTCATTTCATTATTATATCTCAAACTAAAATGTTACCATGTAACAATACAAAAAAAATATTTAGATGTAATTTGAATAAAAATCGGGGAATAACTAGGTACCTAGTTGTTGATATAGAAAAGTATGTAATATTTATACAACTAGCTGACCCGGCGAACTTTGTTCCGCCTTAATGGCAATAAATAAGCAGACTTTTTTTTTAATTTCGAACGGGATAAAAAGTATCCTATGTCCTTCTCCTGGCTCTAAACTACCTCCCTGACAATTTTCAGCTAAATCGGGTCAGCCGTTCTTGAGTTATAAGTGGTGTAACTAACACGACTTTCTTTTATATATATAGATGTAGTAGGCTCATGTTATTATGAGAAGAACATTATTACAACATTGTTATTGCTTCATCACACTGATCGGAATTTGACCGGCGATTCGTTATCACTCGATAACAGTTTGCGTTAACTTAGTAAACAACTGTGAGTTTACGTTAGGTGTGCTCGCTAGCGACTGCGTAAAAATATGACATTAAAATTAAATGTATGACATATTGTGCAGCGCCCCTAGCGGCTACTTTCAAGAAATAAAATCTTCACAGATTTTTTTGACGTACTCGCTAGCGAGCACACCTTACGTAAACTCATGGTAAGCACACTGAAAATTTACTTTGTGAGCATTATGTTTAGGTATACATCTGCTCTGTGTTTTAATTCAGAGGCTCCGGGTTCAAAACGTGGAACTTAAGTCATCAAATTAATGATCTTTAGTCTGAGAGTTTATGACTAATGATTCGCAGGTTTTTTCTTAATATCACTTATTACTAATATTGTTTTAAGTGACGGTACAAAATGGTCTATGATTACAATTGAGCAAATTTATAATATCGTTATTATTCTTGGTAACACTAGTCTGGTAGCAGAACTTCGATAGTACGCAATTAAACTTGATAATAGGTCATTGATATTATTTAATGTAAATTGTGTACGTTAGTAGGAACTAGTATTCTAAGGTTCATTTTCTAGGGCATTTCTTAACTTTTATTCGATTTATGGAAAATTCAATATAAACTATATTAAGTTTTCATTCGGCTAAACATTTATTTGGCTTACATTTTTTAAATAATAAATAACAAAATTAACCTTTGGCAATAAAGATATAGATGACTATTGATCTAAGTTAGTAACCGTAAATGCATACGCATAGGTATTATCTGCTCATAGACGCATAAAAACTCGCTTATTCATAGCATGGACGTGACCAATAACAATGTATAAGAATCTAATGTATTTTTCCATGAATACAGATCTATTCTTAAATAATAATTTGCTGCGCATGTATCAAAATGTTTGCTATTAAGTAATTATCTTTAATTTACAACAGTTTTTTACGGTACTAGCTAGACGGATATTTTGCACTGATACTCAGGCTGAGTCGCACCACCTTATTTTAACCGTGACTATAACCTTAACCGATGTTTTTTTAAGAAGTTTGGCAGAATTTTGACATTTGTTAAAGTTAAAGTAAAGGTACAATTCCAAGACTATGAAATCTCCGCGACGCGCCGCGCTTCAGTTTTCATAGAGTTTTGCAGTTTGCGGTCTGCGGCCCGTCTTGGAATTGTACCTTAAGATGTTGCAGCCCGGCCTAGTAGGTTCCTATAGTCTCAAGAAAAAGAAGTTTCTAAAGATAATACTTACTTAGGTACTTGTCAACAACTTGTTGATGAGTATTGTCCGTGTGAAATAAACATAAATCATTTTTATCTTTGTGATATGTACAATGGAATGACTGCTGAGGTCTTTGTATAAAAATATTGCTTACTAAGATAGATTTTTATTGTTTTACGTCAATACGTTGACTTTTGATAAGAGGTCAAACCCTATCAATGCCTATCACAATGCCTTTTAATCTTGAAGAAAAATAACATAAATATTTTGTGGTAGGTAATTTCTTTGTTTAAAAATATATTAGGTAGTTTTATTGGCCGCAGATATGTACTTGTACAGTCTGTCTGTTAAGAAAAATTCTATTATCTAGTCAAGTATAAGTCTAAGTGGCTTGCATGTTATTCAATGTTGACCTCGAATAATCTTTAAAATTGGTTCTCACCCATCTCAGGAACTATTTAGCGCTCTGTTTGTATACAACAAAGTTACATACATACTTTGTGCGGACAAAGAAGGGGGCAAAGTCTAGTTTGTAATATTGCATGTGCCAGATGCGGACACACCCGCTCGTTAAAGGGTCATTTTACTGCGAAATGTCAGAGTTTATGATCTTAAACCTTTCATGAGTCTTATCATCCTCTCACTTTCGTCCAATAATAAGACCATGTATATTATTATTATAGTTAATTATGTTATCTGCAACGTGCATAAACATTGTGCGATGATTATTATGTTATTAAACAGTTTTGTTTCTTACGAATTTGATTGTATCTGCATAAGTTACTCATAGATTTGTTATGATTGATTGGTCACATTTTCCCATCCAATCAAGTATTTATTTATTTATTAGCACGTACGTCTGAAACTTTTTTTGCAAATTCGTACTTATTAGAACTAGATAAGATATCGTAGGGACATGGACCTACTGTTACGCGTTTTGTGCTGTTTTCTACTATATCTTGAAATCTCTTAGTCTAATCTTTTTGTAGGTCTGACTTTTTTACATTCTTATTACGTATTCACCTATTAACAATTATCTCCATTTCTCATCAATTCTTATCATATATTCAAAGATTGATCAATAATGAAGTCATCAAAGAAAAACATTATCTGCTGATAGTAAATACAATTTTGGCTTATATTTTTTAAGTATTTTTCAAATGTTCCTTTTTGCATTTAAAAACTGTACTTATTGTATTTACTAGCTTTCCGCCCGCGGCTTCGCCCGCGTGGAATTTTGTCTGTCACAGAAAAATTTTATCGCGCGTGTCCCTGTTTCAAAAACCGGGATAAAAACTATCCTATGTTCTTTCCCGGGACTCAAACTATCTCTATGCCAAATTTCATCAAAATCGGTTGCGAGGTTTAAGCGGGAAAGCGTAACAGACAGACAGACAGACAGACAGACAGACAGACAGACAGACAGACAGACAGACAGAGTTACTTTCGCATTTATAATATTATTAATATTAATTAATATATTAATATTAATATTAATATATTAATATATATTAATATATTAATACTAGCTTTCCGCCCGCGGCTTCGCCCGCGTGGAATTTTGTCTGTCACAGAAAAACTTTATCGCGCGCGTCCCTGTTTCAAAAACCGGGATAAAAACTATCCTATGTTCTTTCCCGGGACTCAAACTATCTCTATGCCAAATTTCATCATTATTATATTACATAATTAATTAAATATTATGTAATATAATAATATTAATATTATTATATTCAAAGATTGATCAATTATAATGAAACATTTATATAAATATGACTTCATAATTGATCAATCTTTGAATAATAATAATATAATAATATTAATATTATTATATTACATAATATTAATATTATTATATTCAAAGATTGATCAATTATGCAGTCATATTTTTGTAATATTTTTCAAATGTTTCATTTTGCATAAAACGTAGAACTTATTGTATTTATGACATGCATTTCAAGTTGAATCATGGTATTTACTCTATGGTGACGTAATTCACGTAATCATAAGTCTGACATGTATTTATTACTGCACTGGGAACCCCAGAGTGATATTTTTTTAATTTGTTTCAGGAAACTAACTGTACAAATCCCGCAAACCCAGTCAATGCGGTGAATAATAAGGAGGAAGATACAAAAAAAGTAAAAATGACATCAGAAAAAATAGCACTAGTCTCCAATAGGGTACAAAAAGTCACAAAATTAGTTCCACCCGATGGAGAATGGGGGTGGATGGTGTTAATAGGAACAGCATTATCTAATGTAAGTGACATTTACGATACAATCTAATATGACCACGTTTGTGACGTCAGATAACTACGTCACACTGCCCACTCTTACCTTACATCTATTCCAATTCACGCTTCAGACTCTATAGTAATAATCTTATTAATATCGTTAAACTTTGTTCTGCATTTAATAGACACGAGTGTTTATTTGTCGTTCAATAACCTTAATATTATTGCAATTAACTAATTGGTTCAAGATAGGATCTATCAGCTATAAGACGTAACTATGTATGTGTCGGCTACGACCAATTAATTATTTTATGTAACACAAACAAGATAACATAATAAACAAGATGTGACTTCCTTTATTTAGTAGCTAATTAGTACGATGGTAATAATTAGCATAGAGTTACGGGCAAAAGTATGACCCCTTACCTACCGTATATTGTGCTCTACAATACTTCGAAGGCAAAATGTGTTCGTCACATTGTCAAGAGAGTTATGAAAATATTTACACGTTACTCAGCTGCTAAATATAGCTAATTGATTCACGATTTCTTTTGATAATCTTGAACATAAGATAGTTATGTGAGTGACACTTAAATTGGTGCCAATATGCTGTAATAATTGTGCAAGCCATAAAACTATTATTTACTGTAGTCTCTAATCAATACCAATTATGTAATTCAAGATAAGTAATAATATTTTTACAACAAAATGCCTATACTATTTTCAAACTAATCAATCTTATTTCAAATTGATTCTGGTAGATTACATTATATCCAACAACGCTGGAAGCAATTCGTAATTGAAACATAACAGATACTTGATAGCGATATCCAAAAACCTTTCTTGATCCAATTATGTATTTGATCCAATAAATGATCAAGCAACATCTTTTCAGTATTCAGTTTTATAAATGTGATATATTTTTATTCGATAACATCAGTCGATTTTGTATTATAAATGGGGTTGTTTTTTAAACTGATAGTTTTTCTTTTAAAACAGTTGCAGANCTTTTAAAACAGTTGCAGACTCACATCAAATACTAGTATCTAAGTCAAATTTTCGAGACAATCCTAAGATATCTAATATTTAAATACTTTCTTTATAATAACGATTAAATAAACTTTAGGATTCTAAAACAGTTAAGATGCCCACAGGTCTATACAGTCCTATAGGAAATAATTTACTTCCACAACAAAATTTAAGTAACAACATTTTCCACCACTCAGTAGTTCTAAAGCCTGGTCCGTGAGCACGTAGAATGACCCCAAGCTGCCCATCCTTGTCGCTCGCACGTATATATGTTGCTGTCGCGCTCGCACACTCACTGCAGGCGCGCGTCGCACAGTCGCGACAGCAATATAATTACGCGCGAGTGATAAGGATGGGTAGCTTGGGGTCATTGGACGGGATTCTACGTGCTCACGGACCAGGCTTTACAACTTGTACTTATGCATAATATGAAGTATTTTCTCGCAGATTTTCAATCAATCTATGCTGTCTCTATTCAGTTTGCTATACGGAGATGCGTTAGAAGCAATGGGACATAAGACACAAGGTGCAGCCGTGGTGTTGAGTACCATGTTGTTCGTCACCAACTTTGGAGGGCCCATTGCAGGAGCAGTTGTCAAACTGTCCTCACCAAGAATGGTGGCCGTAGTAGGAGCTTGCTCGTGCACTCTGGGAATATTCTTGAGCGGATTTTCAACGAATATTTGGCATTTAACCTTGACCTACGGCGTTTTATTAGGTGAGATACTTTGCAATATAGCGATAAATGTTATCTATACATAAACAATGGATCTATAGTAAACACTTGTGTTATGAAACAAGATTACAATGTTTTGTTGATCTTTTGTGTTACCAAAACTTTACGAAAACAATGAAATAATTGACTGATGTTACTAATTTAGACTTACACAAATTAACAAAAGAGACAATCAGTAGAAAAGTAACTATCATTTGTGGCGACAAAAAGCCTTTATACCCTCGTGATAGATGTCTTTCAAAGCAAAGATTCTATTTTTGGCTGGGGCAAGACAATACTCGTAACTTTGTGTTAGTTCAATTAAAATAATAAGTTCTAATAATTATGACCTTTTTGCTGCTTAATTAATAAAGTAAAGCTAGTCAGTGATGGTTTTTGGATTTCTATTTGTAAATATGAAACAAAACGGCTAACACAAAAGACTCTAACATTTATTTAATATGCACTACATTGTAACAAAATAAGTACCTAATCTAATGCGGTCTACACACCAAACCCGCCGACGATGGATAAGTTCTCAAAAGTCATAGAAAGTAAAAATCGTCGACATGATTCTTTACAAATAAAGCGGTCGACTCTAAGCCGCCGGGCTGTCACCGGGCTTGGTTTGTAGTNTGTGTAGAGTCCTTCATTTTTTTAACTATTTTGCTTAATAATATAATGTTATCCGACCCTATGAACTGTTTAATAGCAAGTTCCATTTAACCCGCAGGTCTGGGTTTGGGTTTCATCCAGAACTCATCGTTCGTGGCCATAAACAGCTACTTCAAGCTCCGTAAGAGTCGGGCGGTGGGGCTGGCCAATGTGGGCACAGGTGTGGGTCAGACCGTAATGCCGCATTTAGTCCGGTACCTCTTGGAGGGTTACGGGTTTAAAGGCGCCTGCTTACTGCTGTCCTCCTTGAGTTTACACGGGGTTAGTATTTTATTTTGTTACGAAGATATTTTTTGTGTTTTGTTAAGACCTTATTGTATTGTATTATGATTGATGATAAATCTCAGAACATTACCAAATAGATTTGGTTTTTAAAAATAATAGGTACTCGTACATCGACAGTAAAATTAATCACCTGTAGCGCCCAATCTGGGTAATTTTGTCTTATGTGAAAAGGTAGAGTTTGATTATAAATTAACAAAACAAACTGATTTGTTGAATATTTATGGACATTAATAGATATTTTACAAAATAATATATAATAAAATTTCAGATTGCAGGTACACTATTAATACAGCCAGTGGAATGGCACATGAAGAAGGTCGAAGTTGAAGTGGAAGTAGATGAAAAATTACAATTACTAGAAAACAAACACAAAGATATTGTCATTAGGAAAAATTCGGTTGCAAATGGCGTGGAACTCACAAAGAAATTAGACAGAAGAGCAACAGAACCCGCTGTAGTGGGTGCCAAAAATGGAAACGAAAATGGATCTAATGGCCAAAGATCAGAGAGCCATAAAGACATCACATTTAATGGGAAACCGGCTGGTGAGTTAATTATCTCTTCATAGGACATTAAGTGCGGAAATGGTGATAGGGCTATATTTGGGCCGTGCTTAAGGGCACATATACTAATATTGATATTTTGCATAGAAATAGCTTTTAGACACCTACGCAATGACGCCACGATCAAAACACATCATCGTCATAGATTTGACTATTTGTGATCTTTACTCTTCAATTAAGTTTATGAAAATTTTAAAGCTTATTAGATGATTATACGTATGTTAAATAAATGTAACTATTGTTACACACGTCAGGTGTATCGAAATAGTAATTGATTTTATTTTGAATCATAAAAGCAATTATCAAATCCCAAAATAGCATAATGGCTGGTGCCATTAATCTGCTTTGTTAGATTTAAAAGAGTTAAAAACCAGTGTCAATTTGTATATTAATTAAGTGCTAGCTATTAGGTACCTATTTGTAATATTTTTAGTAGAATTGATGGTTTTATCGCTTTCAAGTGAAATGTTTGGTCATCGCTCACCTAACATAAAGTTGTGGACAACATTTTGACCCATTTATCATTATTTACTTAAGACAAGATAGTGGAGTGTAAATAAAACAAATGTGCCTATACCTACGAATGAAAACCACAATATGCTGATTCATTATTAATTTATTAATGGATTACCAACATTAGATACAGTAACAAATACAACAAAAAATTAAACGTAAGGGTCTTAAGCAAACTCTCTTAACAGCAATAGCAACAACGTTTTGTTAAAAAAAATGTTTTAATAAAAATTAATCGGAATTTAAGGTTCGAACTTTATGATGGCTGACATTATAAAAGTATTGGTCCACATTGGCTTAGGACAAGTTTTAAGTCTTAGTTAATGAATAGGCAGCCTTTAATTCAAATGATCAAAAAGAACGTTTGAGATAATGATGATGATACAACATCGTTCGGGATCAACTATATTAGTTCTTAAAAAATAATAACAACGCAACCAAAATAATTCCAACAAATACATCTTTTGTTCCAGATAACACAGTTATCGTAGTGGCGCCGCAAAATAAAAGTTGGCTCAAAAAACTATACGACTTGTTCGACATTTCCCTGCTATCCAGTCCACGGTTTCTGAACATCATCATCGGGACTGCGCTCTCAGTCACTTCCATCCAAAACTTCAGTATGCTGTTCCCGTTCTTCCTACAGGTAATTACTAATTACCTAATGTTTAATTCTTATTTTGCTAATTTTTATTAGCTTCACACTCTTTGCAACTAAAACCAAAAATAATAATGTTGAAAAGGCGAAAATGTGTAAATGAAGTACTCCAATACAATAAAAACAGTATTTCTATCTAAATATTATTAAAACATTGTGGCGTTCTCAATACCAATCATTAAGAGACTGTGTTTTTTTTTATCAATAGACTTTTTTGTATGATAATAATTAGTTTGTATTAGTTCTCTGATGAAATCTCAAATTTACTTACAGAAAGTAGCAAACTTAAATAAACAACAAACAGCGACGTGCATGTCAGCCGTCGCAAGCGCAGATATTTGTGGGCGTCTCATCTTGCCGATATTCCAAGACAAATACAGAATTAAAGCGAGATGGATGCTGATCATGACTTCTGTGTGGCTGATTGTCACAAGGCAAAGTAAGTAAAATTGTAATCATAGCATATCTATACATTCTTGCTGCAAAATCACCCGTCTTACAACTACAATATAATCGAGCTAACTGCGCATCTCGTTGGAATGCGACTCTCCCTCCCACTTACCCGCCCACCACCCTGCGTACGCCTGGTCCGTACCAGAGCGTCGATGTGACGTCACGGCTGCCAGGTACGCAGTTAACTCTACCGGGTTGTGCATAAGATGCCACAGTGTGTAACTTGATGTGCTATCCATACTAAAACATTCCCGCCCTTGTTGTGATGAGTAATGTTATCTTGACCTAAAACCTTTGAAAAACACTGACAAAACAAGCGTGGAAAAATTCCTACACCGATAACAACTCCAATATTTGTTATTGAAGTTATCGACTTTTTGACTGATAAGAAGGTACTCCAAAATTGATTTGGTAACCTGTTATTTCATATTTTTAGTGACAATGAAATTACTATAGTAATTTACTTACTAGATAAGCAGTAAACTGTAATAAATATTCTTATGATAGCAAATTAATTATATCAAGGGAATCTTCGAGAACTATGTTTAACCCAATATAAAACTGATTGTATGACTCACTCTTGACCTTAATTAAATGTAATTAACTAATTGTATTAGTTTTAAACGAAAAAATATTATTAGCTATCAAAGTTGTCGTATCTTAAGCATTGGATTTAGACTTTAGATAACTCCTTATTTATGGATTAGATGTAAATTATCTAATAAATGATATATCTCTTTTTCAGTCTTGGCGTACCAGACCGACTTCACCGTATTGATCGTAATGGCCTGCCTCTACGGCTTCGGAAGAAGTATGGTGATAGTCGCGAGGAATATTGCCATCTCTGAAAATTGCAAGCCCGACCAGGTGCCTGCAGCCGTTGGTTTAGGAATGTTGACCATGGGCATCATAGTTCCCCCTGCTGGCTACTTCCTTGGCTGGATCAGAGATGTCACTGACAGCTACGTCGTATGCATCACGGCGCAGAACATACTTCTAGTAGTGCTACTGGCAACGTGGATCCCAGATATGCTGATCCTATGGATACACGAAAGAAAAGAAAACAAAAAAGACATCCAAATACAAATGACGTAGTTTGAGCTTGAATGATTGAAGGTGTCTCTAAGAGAGACGATGGAAGANGTCAATGCATGTTAGCTGATGATATTAAAACAAAACTTATCTTTTTTTTTCAGCAGATAAGTACTTTCACAAATGTGCGTCAACCCATAAGCCTTATAATGTTGTCGTACGATATGAATGTATTGCAAGGAGTGATTTAGTATGATTCACGGTGACGTTGAGACATAATGAACGTGTATTTGCGTATTGTCTTGTTATTTTTCCGTGTGGCGTTTCACCCGTTTCACACTTCCTGTATCTTCTTTCTTCTCTAATTTATGTTTAATGACGTAACGTATTTATTATGACGTGATTCATTTGTTTATTTTCTTTAGAACAAATACAGTTGGAAAAAATACTATAGGTACTTTTGACATTATCTTCTTCTTCTTATCAGCTGGTAGAGAATGACTTATGGCATTAAGCTCGCGTTTTTGTATGGAACATTCTTATGTGTGTGCAATAAAGTCTTTAAATTAAATTAAATATCTTGATTGGCAAAATAAATTGGTCACAACTTCACAAGATGTGCAATGGAGAGACTCATGTAGAGGTTCTTAATAATTTTTTACACCTCCTTGTACGCAATCACCGCAATGCATCAAAAAATCATCTACGTTAGTCGCCCATCCGAAATCAAATTGCGTATCTGTTACACTAATTTGACGGTATGATTAAAGTCAAAAAACATGCGATCGGAAAATGAAGTTATAAAATGGACACGAATATCTATAACAATGGTAAAATTTAATCGGCGAAAGCAATACGCGAATGTGTGAAACCGCACCGAATTGAATGCCGCATCGAATGGGCTTGCATTAATTGACTGGCGCACATAATAAAAGTCCTTTTCATTTTGTCAGCTATAAATAAAATGCGCACGGCTTATGTTCTGAACATAGAACGCAAGGCTTTGACCGACGACAGAGATTCTAGGAGATGAATCACATTTCATAATGTTGATTGAATATGTAAACGTGAAGGTAAATCTATTAGGTCTATTAGTTTAACTGATTGTAGTATAGTGACAGTTTTGCAAACATATTCTGAGTAAAATTTTATTCTAGAATTTTTTTGTTACTTTATTTGAAATAATCGGGCCCACGGCCATTTGCTTGCTAGGCGTTAAAAATATGGCTTGAGATGCAATTCTTAAAATTTTATTCATGTTCAATACAAACAAATGACAAACTTCCTCTGTTACTGAAATAATAATGTCAGGAACGGGCTAACGTTAATTACCTTAGGGGAGAGGGGGGCAGCTTTGAACAATTTTCATACTTTATTAAATATCTTCCAAATTTGAACGATTTCATCAATTTTTTCTTCCTAGATAGAGGTCATAGTTATCACACAACAAAATAATGATGTTCTTCTTAATTATTCATGAACGCTTATTAAGATATTTAGATTTTTGCACAGACCTGTAAACGTTCAAAACTGCCCCGTAGTCGGGGCAGCCTTGAACACGCCTGGGGCAGTTTTGAATTAGTATTTTTTTCAATGAAATAAAACTGAATATTTATGAATGTGTATTTTTAAAATAATTAATAAACAAAATTTTAAATGATCAGTGTCATTTGGGATTAATTTAACATGTTTATTTTATTTTACATCACTCTGTACAAAGTAAAATTTGGCATGTAGGTACCTTAGTAAACTCAAAGCTTAGTTACAACAAGGAATTCCCGAAATTCCCACAGGAATTAGCGAGAAAATCCTTTTGTATGAAAAATCTAAACCGCTTAAGTAGACCTGAAGTGATGCAGTGACCGCGCGCTCTCCGTCCTCTATCTCGAAAACGGTTCACCGTATAAAAAAAGTTTTTAAACAAAATTTGTAGAGAATTTAGTATTCTACAATATTGATAATAAATACAAATAGCAAAAAACCCACAGGAAATGAGATATTTCTAAAAAAAAGCGCAAAAAAACGATTTTTGTGACCGTTGACCTTGAAATTTAATAGTTGCTTACACCCTACCATATGTAGGTTTTGAGACAACTTTTAGGGTGTCAATATACACGTATTTACAAACTTACAGCTGGGTATCTCGAATTCCTAGGTGAACTTACTATAATGACTGGACTACAATGTAAAGGAAGACCAGATAGTCTTAAGTTTGCTGTTGGGTTAACGTCCCAGTCGAATTGAAATAATATAACTCGTGTTATCTAGTCTAATTTATTATGATCCAATTATATAAAATATTCCTGTTTTTGATGAAGTTTTATTTTTCGTTTGAAGAATATTGGATATAATCTTGTTTAAGTAGCAATAATCCTGATAACGATAACGTAGAGATATCACGTTCAAATGTTAATGGTTAACGATTCAATGATCAATGTGAAATTAAATCGATATGTTTAACAAGCAATTGATACGACCGGAATGAGTTGAATGTTTAGAAGTGCAGTTAACGTGAGACGGCTGAGTATTTGCTTTGTGGTATTTGTAATTGATAAATACAATTAGAGCACCCTTGTCCAAATAAGTGTTAACGATCGAATCGTTGAAATTGATTTTGATCATTTCTAACTACTTTTGAACCCAAAAACGTTATGTACAGCCAATAGCGTATCAGATTATACAATTTTATTGCAAAATCACCTCTATTAAAACTACATAAGATGCCGCAGTGTTTACTATGCTGTCGTCAGTACTTCGTTCATTAGCCTAGGCGCAGACCACCGACTTTGACATCGAGATGAAGAATTGGCCGATACCTACCAAATAGGCGTAATGTGGGCACTTTCATACAATATGTCCATACTGATTAACAGCCGGACTCAATTGTTGGTCAACTAAAAGTCGGTGGTCTGCGCCTAGTCTTAGCTTTATAATAAATTTCTTGTTATATTTTTAACTTATAAAATAAAATTAGATCCATTTTGAAGGTGTAAATGCGTTTAAAGCTGTCGCATCACTTCCAAAAGATCTCATGTATAATGCAAAGGTTGACGGGTGACTATATCTTTATGGCGTACGTAAGCGACCGGTCTCAGCTTAGAGACGGTCTCTTCTTGAATATTCGATAGCGGTTTGTTTTTTACCGACAGACACAAAAGAGGACAATGTTTTAGGTGTGCTTCTTGTTTTTCTATACTTCAATTGGATAGTTATAGAATTACTTAGCAAAGTGTGTCAATGGAGATGGCATATGCACTTCCGCCTGATACTAAGATTCAAGCAATATAACAATACCTAATACACGTAAACATAAATTGATTGTATTTATAAATTTAAGGAGTTGTGTAACATTTTCCGCCGTCAAAAAAGAGATATGATAGGTAATTCGATAGTCATACGTACCCACGACTTTTTTAATTAATAGGCTTAAGGAAGACAAATACAGACAAAAGCTAGGAAATGGAATACTACAAACTCATTATTCATATATGGTCTAACTAACGTACTGCCAATTAGATATAGTTTTATGAGCGCTGCCGCTCTATTTATGGTGCTAATGCTTTATTTGCTAATAAACTCAGAAACAATTAGCATATTGTGAATAATTACTTATTTATTACCATGATTATGTGTTTTATAATTTGCATCTAGGCAGACACAAGGCGTCTCATTGGGAACCTACACATTATCCCTACTTCCCTACTAATATTAAAAATGCGAAAGTAACTCTGGCTGTCTGTCACGTTTTCACGCCTAAACCACTGAATCGATGTTCATGAGACATAGAGATAGTTTGAGTCCTGGGAAATTACATAGGATAGTTTTTATCCCGGTTTTTGAAACAGGGTTCACGCGGGCGAAACCGCGGGCAAAAGCTAGTCTTAAATAAATTCTAGGATGTATCGTAGCTTAATGACTGGGACTCAACCAAATATAAAAAATAATGTCAAATTCATAGATCTCTTTTTTGCTTTTACTTTTTTTAAATCAAAGTTACTGGCAGTGTAGAATGTTAAAACACAAAAGGAAAACATTTATACAATCAAGCTTTTCAAATGAAAATTGACGGTAATTCTTTGCATAATCATCTTGATACTAATTAGATTAGCTTTTGTTTGCTACAATGTCTCAGCTCCATATTTACCGGCTGTTATAAACATTTGTTTGTGTAATATGAATATATTTGTGTTTAATTTGGCTCCGCTAAATAAATTTATTTTCGCCGTGCAACGAGGCTCGCGTAAATCTGGAGGGTCCTTCGAATTTCCGAGGCAAGACTACTGGATTACTCTCCTCGCCCAGAATTTTGTATATTTTCCGCCTGCCTAGTTAAGCTATGTGCTGGGAGGAATACCTTAAGCGTCATAGAATAAGGTCTGTAACGAAATGTATTAAAAAAAGTTTAAAATTAATAGGCACTGAAAGATATTTCAATGTACAAACAAAAGATGAAAGACAAAACATTCGTGCGTTACTTACATAAGCAGCGATCCCGTTAACTATTTTAAGTATTCGCTAATAAATTTATCTTTCAGAAACTGACCCTGTAAAAAAGTCGTAAAATTCACACTAAAGTCGCATCACTCTATCCCTTCATTACTTGCTTCAAAAACTAGCTAAGATTTAATAAAATCCATTCAAGTTAGGTATATCTATGCAATAAAAATTCAAAGACAGATATTATAAAATAACAATCCTAAGCAAATAACTTTTATTTTACAATTGTTTAAAAGCTTTCTAAAACCATGATTATGTAAGTATTATTCATTGTGTGGACCTAGCCACTTGTCTTAGACATCCAGGTAATTTGAAACAATTAATGTATTTTACGCTAAAAACTCTAATTAGTTTACGTCAACTTAGTTTACTCTAAATTTTCTAACAACAGTAAGAAATTAGGTAGTTTCAGGACCTTGAAAAAATTTATCCGATTTAACGAAGAATTACCTACTCGTATTTCTACGAACAAAAAAGTAAATAGCAACCTATTTATTTATTTATTTATTTAAAAGGTTAGGTATGCAAAGAGTTTACTGTCCATTACTAGGTACAATGAATTACTCCTCCAAGGGTTTTTTAACAACTCTAGGTTATTTTACATTAA